TTCCAAAGTATAGAGATATACTGTAATTAACAAGTTTACTATTATTGGACATTTAGTCTCTGTTTTGTGTTGTGGTGTTTATTAGTATAAATAATGCTGCGAAGGACATCCCTGTGCACATATTCTTCTGCACTCGCTCAACTGTATCCTTAGAGTAAAAATTCCTACAGGAGGAATTGATGAATCAGGCACTCCCTTGGGAGGATTGTCAGCAGCAGGAATGGTGAATTCCATCAGATAAAAGCCTATTTCTCGCCCTGGCCGGTTTGGCTCAGCGGCTAGAGCGTCCGCCTGTGGCTCAGAGAGACCTGGGTTCGGTTCCCGCTAAGGGCATCTACCTCGGTTGGTTTGTCCCCCGCCCTGGTTGGGTTGTGTGAGTGGCAGCCACTCGATATGTCCCTTTCACGTCAATGTTTCTCTCTCTCTTTCTCTTCCTCTCTCTCCCTCCCACTCTATCTGAACAAAAAATGGAAAAATGTCTTCAGGTGAGGATAAAAAAAAAAAGCCTATTTCTCCACCTGGGCTTTTCTTGGATTCCTCTTGGGTATCTATGACATTGCATAGTGGTTCTGGGAAGTAGGGATTGTTCTTTCCATGAGAAATCATCCCCTCCTCTCCCAACCCCCGGGCTTCCTCTAGGGACACACCATGCCTGTGTTATGAAGTGACACTGGTCCACAAGGAAGGTGAAATTTTACTGGGTTAATGCCTACTGAATTCCCTGTGCCAGCAGAAAAAGGCTAGAGCAAAACTCTAGGGTGGCCAGTGCTGGGTGCCCCACGGTGGGCATACGTGTGGACACATGGAAGGTTTTCTTTCGTTAAAGGTTTTGTTTTTGCCCTGGCTGGTTTGGCTCAGCGGTGAGAGCTTTGGCCTGCGGACCAGAGGGACCCAGGTTCAGTTCCTGCTAAGGGCATGTACCTCAGTTGCAGTTTGTCCTTGCCTCAGTTGGGGTCATGTGGGTGGCAACCAGCCAATGTGGTTCGCTCATGTCGATGTTTCTCTCTCTCTTCCCCCCTCTGTCTCCTGCACTATCTGAAGATAGAAGCAAAAATGTCCTCGGGTGAGAATAAAAAAAAAAAAAAAGTTTTGTTCTTGCGTGGACAGAGAAAGTATGCGATGGACTCTTCCTAAAGAGACCAGAGGCTAGAAGGGCCTCGTGGAGTCATCTAACCCCATGCCCTGGAGATAGGGCGGATGAGGCCCAGAAAGACTCATAGCATAAACATTCTAATAATCTTTAAATGAACCCAGAAGTGTCTCACACACAGTGGATCAGCCAGTTCAGGGCAGAGTTGAACACACCCCAATTTTTTCCTTCACCGTCACCTGAGGATATGTTTTATTTAGTTGTTTTTTTAATTGATATTAAGGAGAGAGAAAGAGAGAGAAACATCAATGTGAGAGAAACATTGATCAGTTGCTTCCCATACATGCCCCAACTGGGAATCGAACCACAACCTAGGTATGTACCCTGACCAGGAATCGAACCCACGATCCTTTTGGTGCATGGGACGATGCTTCAACCAACTGAACCACCCAGCCAGAGTTCAACATACCTCAAATTTTGACACCTAGTACAATTTTTTTTTAAATCCAATATTTTTCCATTGATTTTCAGACACGGTGGGAGGGAGGGAGGGGAAAACATTGATGTGAGAAAGACACATTAATTGGTTGCCTCCCACAAGACCCCTACCAGGGCCAGGGATTCAACTGCAACTGAGGTACGCGCCTTTGACTGGAATCGAACCTGCGACTCTTTGGTCCTTGGGTCGACGCTCTAACTGCTGAGCCAAACCAGCCAGAGCCGATCCTTATCCTCCTCACCCTGTGTACAAAATTGGAAATCAAGATGAGGTCACATCCCAGCCCAGGCATGCCCAGAATGTGCTGCGGCTGGCTCCTGCCGGCTCTCAAGGGCTGATGGCGCACGCCTCGTCCCGGCTCAGTTTTGAGCGAGGCCATGTTGGTGGCCTGGAATCTGCCACAGTGAGTATACTCATACTACAGAAACCAGCAAACACCACAAAGCAGGGCTGCTTCCGCCCTGCAGAGCCAGTTGTGAACACTTACCAGCATATCACTGGTCATAATCTAGATGTAAAAACCATGAGCAGGTGGCCTCGGTTTCCTCACCTAACCTAGGGACAGCGTTATAATTCTCTGTGGTCCATCATAAATCTCACTCCCAAACCCACCAGCCCCTTCTGTCCTGATCAGTGGGCCAGCGAACGCCCGGCCCCAGCTGAGCACACGGCACAATCCCTGCGAGATGGCTGTCAGCTCGTCTCACAGTTGGGGAAACTGAAACTCAAGAGACTTCAAAGGCCTTTTCAATTATGGACTAAAGCCTCTCTTAGGGTGGTGTCCCCCAGATGTTGACCCTAACATAAGGGTTCAAGTGCCAGTGAAAGGCAGTGGGAAACTGAACAAGGAAGGGAAGGCAGTTGATGAAGGGAGCCAGTTACCTCTGAGACAGCAGCCAACATGCCCCGAAGTTCCCCCAACAAAGACGTGAGGGAGCTGGAGTGTCTACCCACCTTCTCCCACGAGTCATTGCATGGGGCCAAAGGAACATGGCAAGGATGCTGCCATCTCTCAAAGCCACACAGGTACAAGCTGGTAGAAGGCAATTCATACTCCCAACCCAATACTGTTTTCATTACTCTTAAAGAAATGAGCCATTAATCAAACAAACACTTAACTGAGTGCCACTTATGGGTAAAATGCCATGCTGGTGAAGTAAACCTGCTTTGTCAAATCACTTTGGGTTGACATGTCCAAGGAAGTCACAAAGTCTCTTTTTACTAATTCTGATCAATAGAAGTAATAGAAAAGGTCCTTCTAACTTTGCTCATCCCACAGGAACTAGCCAAATGCCCTTCCCCACCTCCTTCCCCTGTGAGGCTGCCCTAGCTGGTTCAGCCACAGTTGCCTTGGGCAAGAGTCCTGCAGCCCCAGGCTGTCATCCCAAGCAGCTGCATCAATCTGTGATTACAGGCTCCAGAGTCTGCCATCCCAGGGATAACCGAAAATGACCCCTTGGTCGCCCAGCCAGCCGAGTCTGACGACTGTCCGTTTATTGTGCCCTGCTTTCCCTGAGCCTCCTGCCCCATCCCCTCCCTCAATGTCCTCCATGACAACCCACAAGCAGGCCGAATAAATGAAACCACAATCACAGGTCTCTGGGAGCTTACCCCACCTTAAGGATTTATTTTAAAGTATTCTGGAGAGGGAGGGAGGTGTTTAAATAGGACAGCGTGTCATAGGGTTAACTCATTGCACCATATCATAAACAGCGGTGGGAGGGGACCCCTGCCCTGGTTTTATAAACCCAGCTGTGGCAGTTCTTAGCAATTATGGCTTAAAGACAGAGACTGGATGTCTTGCTCTATTCTAACTGCACAGAGGAGAACTGCCCAGTTTTTCACTCTGGGGGGGAGACGAAGGAGACCTGGGCAAGTCCCAAAACTGCTCTTGGATCACCCGTTTGAATCCCATTCTCTCCACGGGATTCTGTGGTCCCAATTCTACACCCACCGCCCTGTGAGCACACCTCCTGACAGAGCACCCCAGAGAGGACCGAAAGCAGTAATCAGGCCAAGGTCTTCTTGTGCTTTGGTGGCCGGATTCCCTTCTGGCAAGTTCCACAGCCTGGCCACTGGCGCTCCAGCAGAGATGCCAGGATGTGTGATTCGGGGCATCTCTCTAGCCCACTCTCTAGGCCATTCCTAAGTTCTCGCACAGAAGGCAGACACAAAGCTCAGCTCTGGGGTACCAGGAAATAAGCCAAGAAAACAGAACCAAACCAGCGGATGACTGAAAGGTCCCAGGTAAGCCAATGCATCAGAGAGTGAGGAGAACCGAGGCATCAAAAACAAGGTGTAGGTTACCTGCCACTCCCAACTCCTAAGATAACACAAACTGGAGAGAAGGCCTGAACCCCCAAACAGAAATTATGCACAAATGCAGAGAGATGGATCTTGGAGCCCCGAGAGCAGAGGAGACCACCCTCAGGAAGGTGGGGATGCTGCCAGCTGGAGGTACTGCATATGCCCTAGCCCACTCACCCTGGTGTAGAAGGTACACCCCATCTTCCCTAGGAGGAGGGCATGACTCAGGGCCCCAGATCCTCTCAGCCAGTCTCCCCAAAGGTGCCCCTCATCATTCTGATTTCACCAACATAAAAATGAGGGCAGAGGAGCATAGGATATGTCCAGGCTGCACCCCAAAGATTATCCATTCTCCCCAATACACCACACCTGCTCTCCCATCTTCTGAAGAAGGTGCAGGACTCACCTCCAGCCTCCCCAGCACAGGAAATCTCAAACTGCACCAGCGCAGACTCCCAGGTGCCCTGGCAGGCTGCTTGCTATGCCTCCTTCTCCCAGGGCAAGAACTATCCTCTTTCTAAAACTACCTCCCCTCTCTGAGCTCAGGCATCATTTGAGGCCCTCTTCTAGCCACACCACACCCCCAGGCCCCCTGGCCTGCCCCAGCTCCCAGGCATCAGCTGACCTGTCTAGAGGAGAAAACACAGCTGGTGCCCAGACTCCTGGACCCACTCCAGGGTCTCTGATCCCGAATGGGCACCTCCCAGGCCAACTCCACACTTAGTCCCTAGGAAACTGCATTTGGACACAAGTTAAAAAGAATGGACTCCTCTCAAACAGCCCAATATATCTTAGCCATGAGAAGTGTCTTTAATTTTGCAGACCATCTGCAGAAAAAGTTCCCACTAAGTAAATGTGGACTGATAAGTAAAATAATTCCAACCCCAGATTCCTCATCCAGATATTCTGGAAAGAAGGCCCCTGGCTCTGGCTCACAGGCAGCTGTTTAAAACAATCATTGTTTCTAATTCTTTCCTCCCATTGTACTAAGATCAACTGTGGCAAGAACTGAGTCTCATTCCAGGACAAATTGTTACTTGTCAGCTGTTGGTTTAAACATACATTTTCATTCATTCATTCATTCATTACGTTTAAGGTACTCACTATAAACCTGGCCTGCTCTAGACACAGCCTCTGTCCTCTGGGAGAACACGTTCTCGAGACCCAGATTAGGATCACCCGAGAATAAAGTGCATGGCAGCACTGAGAAGCCTCGTGCTCAGGTCCTCCTGTCCCGGGGGTGCAAAGGTACTGTGAACAACCCAGGCCCCACAGCGCACCCTTGGGCAAAACAGGGCCCTCGGTCTTCCTGTAGGCCACCGCGCCTCTCTGTTGTCCCCAGGGCTCTCCCAGTTTAGAAGCTGAATGCAAAGCAGGCGCTCAAAATGCAGAAGTGGCCCGTCAGCCCAAGGCACCTGCCTCTCTGGGCGCAGAGGACGAAAAGCCGAGGTCCCTAAGGACCTCAAGCACCAGCTCCGGAGGCCGGCGGGAAGACGGCGGGAAGACCGCCAAGGGGAAGTGTCGGGAGGACCAGGCCCCCTTCTCCCGCCCCCTAGCACCGTGAGCCCTTGTGAAGGCAGAGGGAGCCCGCCTCTGGGGAACTGTCCATTGGGCGGGGAAGGAGAGGACGTATTGGAGTCGGGGCACTCACCAGGGCTGTCGGGGGCCTGCCATTCCTGCACCTGCCGCCCTGCCCCACCGCGACAGGGAGTCCCTGGGACCCTGGGGATGGGCTGGGGGAGCCTTCCTGCCACCACCCTTGGTGCAGAGAGGATGGAGCCCCAGAGCTCGGGCCGGAGGAAGAGCTTGGAGCCACAACTTTCTCCCGCCAGAAGGCAGGTGGGCTGGGGCTCCACGCCTACACTGCCCCTGAGGAGTCCGCATCCTCAAGAACCTGGGGGGAACCCCCAGTGGCTGAGGATGGAGGGAGGAGACCAGGGACAGGCAATGACTGAAGGGCTGACCTGGACCGGGCAGAAGACTCTGCGGGAAAACTTTCCGCGAGAGGGGAGATGGGCAGGGGAGAGAGGACCGCCGGGTACCCTGCACCTTGCATCCCGCACCTTGCGTCTGGAGCCGTGCCCCCACGCCCAGCGCCCCTCGCCCGCGCCCAGAGCCTTGCCTGCATTCCAAGCCCGCTGCATCTCGCACGCGGCTGCGGAGACCATGGAGTTGGAAAGTGGGGTGCGGCAGCCGAGGGGCTGCTCCAGCCCGCGCCTGGGTCAACAGTGGGCGGGTCCGGATCCAATCCGGCGGGGCAGGGCTGGCAGCAGCCACGAGATTGGGGGTCGGACGCTCCGCCCTCCTCGCTCCCCGTGCGCCCTTCCTCGCCTGCTTGCCCGCCCCAAAACCTTTATCTTCCCCTATCCGGTCTGATTGTCCTCCCTCCCCCTCTTTCTCTAGCTCTCCATCTCCCCCACACCCCTCTTCCCTCGCCTTTCTTCCTCCCCCTCTCTCCCGCCTACACTTTCCCCTCCCCCCCGGGGGGCGGAGCTTCTCCCCTCCCTCCAAGACAATGCTGTGGCTGAGCGTCCCCTCCTTCCCCGCCTTTGAGCCCGGGCTCCGACTGTCAGTGCCTCTTCTGGGCAGGGAGGGAGGAAGGGGGTGAGAGTGCGAGGGTGGGAGGATGAGCTGGCTTCCCTCACCCCACTTGCTCTGCCCTCTCCAAAAGGGATGGAGTCTTGGTCCAAGCCCCTCTGCTCACCCAGCGCTGTGACAGCCACTCCCGGGGAACAGCCACGCTGCCCTGGGGAGCCCGCCTCGAGCGCCCCGGATTTCCCAGCAGAGGATATAGCATATTTTCCCCCCTAACACCCAGGCTTATTCCAGAAAGGGTTAGAGCTGAGCAGGAGCTAAGCCGGCCCCTTCGACTTCGCGGGCTGGCAGACGTGACAGTAATGTGAAGGAGGCCAAGTGTCTTTGTCCACCTCTCACCTCCCCCTTCCCCACCCCTGGACCTCCAGGGGCTCTCAGTGCGCGGGAAGCTCTAGAGTACTCCAGCCCGGGGGGAGCTCTTATCTGTTCCCTCCCTGTTATCTAAATTCTCCTCCCACATATGTTCCCCAATTCTGAAGTCAGTCCCCACGCCAGAAGGGAAGGGGCCCTAACAGTAAATGGGTAGCCAACCCCCAGGATACAGCAGGATCAGCTCATCCAACCCTGGAAGCCAAACATTCGTCACTAAATTCATTGTTTGGATCTTGGAATGTGTCTCCCTTAGAAACAATGTTATAAATGGTGAGCTGCTTCCCCGGCCAGCCACAAAAGTCTTTTGAACCCAAAGCAGCTGTAGGGTGGTGCTGAAAACTGTGTCAGCTACCCAGGAACAAGGAGGCCACTGACCAGTTTTTTCTATAAGGGAAAAAAATTATCTTCTGATTCTTTCCCCTTGAGCTATCAACACAAAACTCTCCCATGAATTCCCTCTTGAGCAACTACTGTGTATTAGTTAAGCTTCTTTGCAGGTAACCTGAGCACCCTCATAGGAATGGATTCTGAGGACATGGGGGTTTTCCTATACCCTCAGGGTCAGAGCTGCAGGGAAAGTTCAGTAAGAGGCAAATCAAGAGCCCAGAGGCCTTCCAGTAACACAGGAAGTCTTCTGCTAGGGGCCAACTCTTCCCTTTCGTCATAGACTGGCCTTTCCTTCACCCCAGACACGAGACAAAGGGTGGCAATGGCTTGCATCACTGGGGCTTAGAGCTCCCCTGTTGAAGAAAGCAGCCAGGTGAAGCTAGAATTCCTGGGTATCTGCTCCAGTCTCCCAGGAGAGCAACTCATTGGCCCAGCTTGGGTCGGGTCCCCATCCTATGCCCAATCAACTGGGGCCAGGGCCAAGTTTTCCTTATCCAAATTAGACTGCCAGGAACCCTCACCATATGCCCTGCTTAAAACAAAATCCACTCCTCTCCACTTGGACTCTCCATGGTGGCGAATAAATTGATTGATTGATTGATTGATTGATTGATTAGTTCAAGACACCACAAACTGTCTTTCTTGTCATCAATTTTCCCATATGGTAGCCACAGGAGAGAAAGGAATAGGCCCTTATCCTTCAAGGCAATACAGGGACAACACATCTGTAGGAAGGATAATACTTTGCAAACTGATACATTAAAGACCTTCCCCTCTTAACCCTGCTTCTTGCAGCCTTGACCCCTAGGGACTGGACCAGGAGGCACGTGCCCTCAGGGAAGCAGCAGATCAGTGTTGCCTAGAACCAGTCCTCCAACAGAAATGCAAAGGTGGCCCTGGAGGGTTTGGCTGCGGTCCAGAAAGACCCGGGTTCGGTTCCCACTAAGGGCATGTACCTCGGTTGCAGTTTGTCCACTCGGTTGCAGTTTGTCCCTGGCCCTGGTTGGTTTGTGTGGGTGGCAACCACTTGATGTGTCCCTTTCACATCGATATTTCTCTCTCTCTCCCTCCCACTCTATCTGAACAAAAAATGGAAAAATGTCCTCGGGTGAGGATAAAAAAAAAAAAGAAATGCAAAGGTGTACCTGAAAATTTTCTGGCCGCATTAAAAGTAGTAAAAAGAAACAAGAGAAATTAATTTTAATTGTATTTAAACCAAAATATTACCATTTCAACATGTAAACAGTATAAAGAAATTATTCAGGAGATAGTCTATATTCTATTTTTCTACCAAGGCTAAAATCAGGTGTGGATTTACACATATATCAATTCAGATGTTAAATTTTCATCAAAAATACTTGACCTGTATTTAGGTTTTATAAAATTACTACTTGAAGAAGGAGAAGTTTCTCAATAACTGACTTGAATATTGGGTTTTTTTTAAATTTACATTTTAATTAAGATTACATAAACTTGAAATTCAGTTCCAGTAGTCACATTTCAAGTGCTCAACCGCACATGTGGCTGGTGGCTACCACACTGGGCCAGACACGTTTAGGGAACAGGGAAGTCACTGATGAGCTCGGAGTCTCACATCTGACTTCCCTTATCTCTCTAGCAGAACAGCGGCAGGAATGTCAAGCATGGCCAGACAGAAAATGACTTTCCAAATTTCTTGATGTCCTCCTATAACATCTCAAGAGGCAGCTTTTGCCAGTAGATCTGAGTTCTACTTTATGCCTGAGTAGAAGCAGGGCATGCAAGGAAGTGGGTGTCCAAAGCCCATTCTTCTGTGCCCAGTGGATTCTGAGACAAGGGAAAAAGCAGGGGACACAGAGAGTTGGAAATGCCACATCTACCAGGTTTGTGACCTTTGACCTGAGTGAGGATGTATGTGAGGGGTGAAGGGAGTCCAGGGATGGAAGAGAGACTGCCACACTGGCGGCTCTCCTGTTCTCAGGCACTGACCAAGGGGAGGGGGCAGCCTCACTAAAGTCAACTCAGTAGATCACCATGGCTACACAGAGGGGGGCCTGGGTTTGGCTGCCTGGGATCACTTCACAATTCCTGCAAGGCGCAGACATGAGGCAGTTCCTGCTTGCTCCCCAGGACCAGGGCCTCCGAGGGAAATTAGATTGTGCGGCATAGGACTATGGCCATAGGGCCTGCCTTAGTCTGAGTTCCCTCAAAAGCAGCACCTGAGACAATGGGTGCAGGTCCTTAAACGTTGGACCCAAAAAACAAGAGAGTGAAAGGCAAGGAGAAGAAGCTAATAAAGGATGCGCAACTGGGGCTCCATCCCTGCGGGGACCCTCTGAGGACCCTCTGAGGAACTGTGTGAAATGAACTTCAGAACTGTCCTCTCTGAAGGTTGGGGGCAGGGGCATTTATCCACTGACTCTCATCCCTCACTGGCTGAGGACTACTCCCGAGATGCTTTCCTCTTCTTACTTCCTGGTGTGTGCTGTCTTGGCCTCCGGGAAGCATCTGAGGCAGAAAAGCAGGAGCTGCTGTCATTGGCACCTGAGGTGGGGCAGGTGGTGCGTGGAGCTGCCCACTGCAGCTGTGTGGGCATGAGAAGTGGGCCAAGGGGGTGAGACACAGAACACACACAGCTCTGGCGCTCAGATCCAGCATGGAGAGGGCATGTTGACCGCGAAGGTGAGGTCAGGGCTGGCAGGAGGACATGACGGGGATTCAGAGGGAACAATGGAAGGCCCGAGTTAAGGTCGAGGAGGCCAGGGAGCACTGCAGAGCTCCGAAGGAGCATGGCGTACCCAGACCATGAGTCACACACGCTGCAGGCATCACCAGTAGACGCCAGGCAGACTCTCAAACATTCTGCTTTCAAGAGATGGTCCAGAGCAGGCCCTCTATAGGGAGGCCCAGAGACCCAGAGGCACTATCTTTCATGTCAACACAAGAGCACATAAGACAGAACCTCCCCCAAAGAGTCATATTAGAGAGAGCTGGGGAAGGAAGGAAGAACTCTGAGAGTGTCTTTACCCAAGGACTGTTTATATTATTGTATCAGACTCCTTTTCTTTTTCCCTCTGCTATACAGGAGGTGAGGATCTACAAGGAAGATCTACTGTGTGATAGAGAAATCTGGACGCTTACGTGGGATCTGCAACTGGGACTCGGAAACATCTGGATATGTCTGGCACACTAGAATGGTGGGCTGGCTAGAAATGTATTTGTTTGAGAGGTGAAAAAAGGCCTTCCTGGGAGGTCATTTATAGTCTAAGGAAAGAAGAAACCAATGTTGGTGCAGTAACAACGCTTTTGTTGACAAAAGAGAGGTAAAATTGTCATTCAACTCTGCCCCTAACCAGGCCCCTGGAAACATGGGGGATGTTGAGGTGGGAGGGGGCGTCCTGGGAAGATGGAAGAAGCTCTAAGTTACAAGTCAAAGGACTGCTTCATAAACCTCAGAAATACTCTGAGACCCAAGCAGCCACGCTAAGTAACACTTAAGGTACCAACTCAGCTTCTCTATTTCAAGGACTTGTTATGTTGACAATATGACCCAGAAGAAGTTGACAGATTGCCAAAAGGTCGCAATTATTTTCCTCCCTGCATACACTTTGCAGTTCCTCCCACAAAGAGGTGGCATCTACTTCCCCACCTTGAATCTAGGTTGACAGTGTCACTTGCTATGGCCAATAGATGGTAGCAGAAGCCATATTGTGCCTTTTCAGAGCCTGGGCCTCAAGAAGCC